TATATATATATATATAAAAAGATTGTAAACAGAAATCTTAATGCCTAATGATTTTATGATATGATGTTAGCGCGCAAATTTATGTCATAAATTTCATTTTCTCGTGGTATCTATGTAAAAGGGATTAATTTATGACTCATTATGACTCATAATAACCTGTTTAATTAGGTTATATCAAGCTATTTATTTTATTATATTTCGTCTCCAAAATATAAAATACTTTTCATAAGACAATATTATGATAGAAGCACAGTAAATCATTATGAGTATCATGAGGAGTAACAACTCTTGAAGTGATAACTAACATCCTTAATTAACTAACATGCTTATTGCACTTAGAAAATTTCTCATTCTTCTTCCGAAATTCTTTAATAATACGTCTAATAATCGCTACTCGTTAGCAATTTCATTAAGGTAATAAACGTATCTCTGAGTACACATTGTTTTAAATAAAAAGATAATGTTTAACAATATACATATATCTAAATGAAACAATATCATTAAATATGTATGTGTTAAACGTGAAATCATTCATTATATACAAATTATTAAATTCTTATTTTGTTTAAAAATTATTGAAAAATAAGAAAATATTATAAATTATCTGATAAAAATCTCTCAATTACCGAAAACTTTTTAATTATTCCGTTGAATTCATCATTTATGAATTCACAACACGTAAGCCAATATTATTTTTTACTACGGTATCTGAATGTTACATGTTGTTAGTTCTGTAGCATTTCTTCATCTATCTTCTCTCTCAAACAAAATCTTATTTCGTCGGATGAAATTCCATGGAGGTTTCTAGTTTGTCGTCGTTTGCCTGACCTGGATGTCATCAGTATCTCCTTTCCTTTTACTTTTCGCAAACATCTTTTTTTTTGTCATTATTTTATTTGTCATTTTTCTGTCGTTATTTAGTAGCTCAAAATAAGTATGAGAATACTGCAAGAAACTAATTTTATTAACATTGTGTGTGTTGTGTAATAAGACTGCCAATATTTATAATATCGCAAAACTTTAATCAACTACACTTACACTATGCTCATTTTTTCGATAGATAGTGTGCTAAAAATTTTCATAAAGAAATATACATATTTAAAAGTGCAACCCAGTATCCGAAAAATCAGAATTTTGGATTTGGTAATGATTACACGAATCTATTTCTATTTATTTCAATTCTTTGGGAATTAAAATAGATAGAAATGAATTCGTGTGGACATTGCCGAATATATAATTTTGATTTTTCGGATACTGAGAACATATTCCAAAATATTAAAATATCTTTAAAGAAAAATACTTAAGCCTCCTAAGTTTTTGTAAAGCTTATTTGTATAAAATAAATCATCAACATAATAAATTTGTTATTATTTTAACCAAGAATAGATTTATTATTTTAATCAAGAAATAAAGTTTATATCTTCTCAGCACCATTCGCGTACTTGAAGTAAATTATTTAGGTTGTTACATATTTTGATAAATTTTACCTGTTGGGTAGCAAGATTACCCAATCACATGCGTGGATTACCAGATTTACCTAAAATTTACCAAAAGGTGGAACAACCGACCCTTATTTGTACATAGTCGCTGTGTCGCTCAGAATCCATTTTCATATGTAATTAAATTTGCTAATTAAAATATGATAATTTCAAATACATAGTAGAAACAACACATCTTCGATGTTTACTTCTCGTAAAAGAAATTTCACAAAAGATAGACATGGAACACAGTGTACACTGCAATGCAAAAAAAAACTTCAATCGATGATATTCCGTATACATGTATATGCACTTGACGATATACCGAATTCTTTCGCGCAGTCAATATTGATCAATGCAACTTACAGCGTTCACTTACGATGAAGCGGAGAAAAATGACGGAAATTCGTGTACGCCCTTCGCTGTATTGGTAGCATGATTAATATGACCAGAAAGGAAGGTAAGGACGAAGGATTGTAATATGGTAGGCTCTCTCTTTTTCTATAGAAACGAAGAGAGCATTATACTGTGCATATTGGAAATCGATATGTACACTCGCCTGTTGCCACATTGCATACGCATTTGTCCGATTTCATGAATGTATTGCACGATACTAATTCTTTCTGTCGAGCATGACCTACGGGCTTCGCACGTGACAACTTGATACGATTTATCGATAATATTTGCAAAAACGTTTAATTAATCATTTTACAATTCGAATAATGTCTGTTTCCTTAATCATAAGAAATCTTTTAAAGTTTCCATCACAATTTTATAAACTTATATCAGATGTTTTTTAATAATTGTAAGTCATATTCATCGATGCTTTATTAACAAAAATTCGTAACACAAAAAGTGAAAAAAATACATGATAGTATTTATTTGGTAGATAGCAACAATAGAAAGAAAAATTGGAAAAAATTAATAACAAAGATGTATTATATTAATGTTGGTTAAATGCATATTTTTCGATCGGGATTACAAAGTCTTACTATAATTGATATTTCTTTCGTAACTCCGACAATTTAGTATTGTCTCATTTAAATAGTAACTGTGTGAGCTATGTTTAATTATACAAGATGCACTCGTGATGCATTCCTAATCATTATGACCTAGTTGAGAAACTGTTTCAAAGCGACTGCCTTTTCTTAATTAACGCAATGAAGACACGTATTTTTTAAATCTTGAAATGTCGCATTTTATTTCAAAGAAACGTTGATGAACATAATTAGCTAAATATACATTTTAATTTGAAAAAGAAAAAATCTTCAAGATTGTCTTCAAATTTTATTATTGTGGCAAAAAATCACGTTTGTAAATATTTTAGAAATGTTAAAAATTAAATTTAATAAAATAGAAAACAAAATGTAAATACTATGTTTTAATTTTGAAATGATAATGTCATTTCAATATAATAAAAAATTAAAAGTTGTAAAAATGGAAAAATAAAATAAATAAATAAAAAATAAATAAATAAAATATTATTATATAGGACAATGTTCTTCTTTAAATTAAATATAGTGTGGCTATTATATTGCATCAATGAGTGAAAGAAAAAAATCATTTTATATATTGTATATTCGACAGTAAATTATATTTGATGCTTTCACATTTCGATAATAAAGGAAAGAGAAGAGGAGAAGAGCCGCAGATAATACGATAAGTTTTCAAATAAGTTTTGCGACATAAGAAATGGTATTATCGGTTTTTCCAATTCTGTTGTATTACGGATATCTTTCATCGATGATTAAATCTACTGCAGAGATAGTAAAAAAAAAAGAAAAGTAATTGTAGTTTTTTTCGTATAATTTCTTCTGAGATTATTCTGATAAACTATCATCATGGACACAATATCGAAAAGAATGATATAGACTTGAGCGTTTTATATTTATGTATAATAAATGAGTATATAGATTACACATTGATTTCTCTTATAATTTTCAAAAATTAATTAAAATTTTTATGATGTTGATATCTCGTTTTTAAAATCTCGATAATGATACAATGAAAAAAAGAATATTTCTTGAATAGTATTAAGTAAACATTTCTTTACTATCGATAAATATTTATTTAAAAAAAAAGTAATAATTACTTAAATCAATTAATATCTATAAATATGAGAGAGAACGCTGATTCTCGGTTAAAGTTAGATGTTATGAATATAATATACATATATTCTTAATTTAAATTTAATTATCTCAGATATAACTGTGCGCCGAAACATTTGGATATTCCTTTATATATATATATATATATATATGCGAAAAATATTACCTTAGCCAAGATTCGAATCTGGCAGAGGTAATATTTTTCGCAGAGATAATAAATTCCTTATTTCATATATAGGAATGTCCGAATATGTTTCGGCGCCTTATCATATTTATATTATTAGCGTCTCAGATCGATTGTAATTTTAATGTCCGAACGTTTCAGCGCACAGTTACATCTGAGATAATTTAAATGAAGAATATACATTATATGAATATATATTGTATTGAATATTCATAACATCTAACTTTGATCGATTATTGGCATTCTCTCTAATGTTTATGTATGTATATCATTTACACAATCGTATTTGTCCTTCAAATAATATCTGTTTACGTTTAATAAATATATTTTTATTTGCAATAAGGAAATATTTAATACTATTCAAGAAAATACTACTTAGATTTAGGAATTTTTTTCGGTGTTTCTTAAATTTCATGAATGATTTCTTATATGTTCAAGAAAGAATTTCAATGGTAAAATATAAAAATAAAAACTACCTAATAATAATTATTCGTTATGTATAAAAATTAATGTTTTATATTTAAAATCGAGTATGACCTATTGATTTAAAAATTTAAAAAAATTGTATACACAAAATTTCCAAGAAAAATGCAAAATTAAAAAAAAATAATTGACTTTTGATGTATTCCTGTTAACCTAGTTGAAAAACAGTTTCAAACGACTACAGTCCTTTTTTCATTAACTTTATGAACTATAAAGACACATATATTTTTCAAACTTCGAAATGTCACTTCATTTCAAGCTTGAAATGAGGTGAAAATTACAAAAGTAAATAAATTCACGAGAATGTTTATAATTTGATTGGTCAGCATCTATTTAATTTGCTCACTTTTGTAATTTTCACTTGAATTACTAATGTTCACCAATATGTGATTAATTTTAATCTTAATTCAACTTACTCTTCATTTTTTCCATCTATAATGTAGGCACTCCTATCCATTGAAATAAGCTTCTGTGGTCCAACCAGTTACAGATCCTAGAAGTCCGACTATAAATCCAACTGTTCGAGATGCTGAGTAGATATAATACCGACCATACAACGCCCTCCGATACCCGAGCACCATCTAGTGACAGTTTTGTCCGTTCGTTTCCATCTGTTTCCATCGCGTTTTCATGAACTCTGATCGTGCGCCGCCACTTGTGAGTTACCGTTCCGCGTCGTCGAAAGGCCGCGTCGTTGTGATTGTTGACAGCCACCGTAGGGTAAGCTTGGTACAGCTGTGCGTTTGTCACGGCTACACAGTAGTTTCCCTCATTGTCAGCGGCACTGGAGCCTCGTCCGCCGTTTGCGTCCCGACGCGGCCACATTCAGGCTGTGTGTCCCGGCCAGCGTCACCCGTCACGTCGACAGTTCGAGCCGCATCGTTGTCGAGAGACTGGAAGAGACACGGAACTGGGAAAAATGAGGTATTTATTGTCCACACCTGGCGAACGGATATAGCGTTCTCGCGCTTTTCGCATCATCTTGTCGCTCTTCTTGCACTCCCTCACGAATCATTTTTGCGATCGTCATGTCGTCGATTGTGTGAAAGCGGAACGGGACGCGCGACGGTTGTTTTATGAAACGAGAGAAACGGTAGAATGTTCGCGAGCGGGAATGGGAAAGCGCATCCGCATTTATCAGCCGCCATCTTTCCCGCGCTGACGTTCTGCTCACCCCCAAATGCTGATTCGCGCCTCGGGCATTTAATTCGGGAAAGTCGGAAGCATTGCGAGGACTTCTTCGTTGAATATTCTCCTGCTTTTGTTTTTTTATAGGGCATGCTTAAATGTGTAGGTTTTTTGTCGTTATGTTGCGTGTTTGGTAATACGTGGGTGTCTCTACGTGCCATATTATATATCTAAATTGCGCGCGTGGCTTCTGGTACACACACACACACACACACACACATACACATACATACACATCATACACACGCGCGTGCGCGCGCACACATCACGCTTGTCGTGTGTGAGAATGGTGTCACGCCTAATTGTTGACGGATTACATGTGTGTATCGTCAAGGCGCACGTACGATGGTTTGAAAATGGCTGAACCCATGGAGACACACATGTGTTTGTGTATGTATGGATTCTGATACGCGTACTGCAGTACTTGTCACGAAGAAGCTGCATTGTCGTCGCGTGATTTTCATTGCGTTCACGTCGAGATTTGGTGACGTTATCGCAAATTATCGAGTCACGTGCATGATAGTTATGAACTGGAGTCTCGATCATAGTATTTCATGTAATGCTTCTGGGAAGTATCGCTTCTGCCAAGTATTACGGACTTTATGTTATGCGATAATCCGTAATTAATTATGGGCGCGTTAATTTTTCTAAACGCGCGATTGATGTCAGCGTCACACTTGACATTTTAATACATTTTAAATTAAATTAAGCTAAGTTATTTTGTGCCTAGCCTTCTCCGAATAGTGTGAACTTTATCTAAATAGATCTAATCTTTTTCAAAAAATGTTTTGAACTGTATACCGGTGCAATAAGTTGGAGTAAAACAAACTGTATTTAGATTTGGTTTTCATTACGGTATTAAAAACTTTCTCGTTTTTATCAAATATCAAACATATATCTTTCACTTTAAAAATGTAGTGCATTCTATACAAAATAGACTTATATTCTAACTTATTGTTATTCTAACCTAACCAATTCAAACATTCTTCTCAAAAAAGAACAATTATTTAGATCAAATTTATTTGTTCGTTGAATTATAGATAAGAATGAGGTTAAACATAATTGAATTTTATTTTTAGAACGGTGGTTTATCTTAATTCTGTTATTTATAGCAGTAGATCACAGATGACTACGATGAACGGGAAGAGGCCCTCTTCGATCCCGTGTAGACATCAGCCAGAGATATTATCGCAACATTCTGACTTGATCAAGTATATTTATGATTGTAAGTATACATATGCAATACAATTTAAATGATTGAAATATATTTCTCTGATATTTATTTTTTATATTTGTTGCATTTTTTTCAGCATGGAATTCTGTATCTAGAGAGCTAGATATGTGTCACAATCAACCACACAGTAACTCCTCTAATTATAGAAATGGAGCGTCAGTTACATATTATCAAGAACGTGAGCCAAATCCACAGTTGAAAGGTAAACATTTTGCTTTTGTGCTTTATCTAGAAGCAAAATTGGTACAATATTATTATTGTATATTATAAGTTTAATTTAAACTCGAGAATTTATCTTCTTTTATTTGTTTCTTATTCTTGATTTAGAGAATTATGTGTGCGCTATAGTGGAAGAGATTAATTTCTTTAGAGATATTCAATTATTTTGTTTTATTGTATTATGTTTTTTTTTTGTAAATTTTGTTTCATTTTATTATTGACTGGAATATATCGTGGATGAAAAAAATGTAGTATTGTATTTTATATCTTTTTACAGATTTTGAACCATTTAATTTGGAAGCATGGTGGGGACAGCGTGTTGTGCAAAGTGTTATTACTACTAGAAATGCAAATTCCTAGTGCCAGGCCCAACATGCTGACTATAATCGGACATTTTCAAACAGACATAAGAAACAAAAAAGATAAATTGCGATTTTAAATTCAATTTTTGTTTCTTTTGAGATTTATTTTATACTTTTGACAATGATACTTTAAAGCTGGGATTCAAGAATAGAGAAATTGTAACATATAAAAAATATAAACAGTAAGACTTAAATACTAAAACATTCGAACATACACATAAGTAAAACAAAGAGTTTTAAAATGGTAATTTTATATTCTCGAGAATTTTTTATGACAATTGATTAATTTACTATTTAAATCTTACTGCTTACGTTTTTACACAATGAAAGAAAGACAATAGATAAACACAAAAATTACAATTAAATCTCAATTTTGTTTTATATATGTAATGTACGTATTTATCTGAAGATTTTTTAATGTTTTAATAAGAAAAAGAAAAGAAAGAATGCGGATTGTGTAATGTTGGTAAATGTGACAGTAATATGACAGAAATGTTGTTATGAATAGTAAAGAGAAAGATAAGAATACAACAGAAACATAAGCATGGATATACGAAAACATTCCTTTTATGTCGATTATATTTTACCAAGATATATTAAATTTTTTTTTTGAGCTTTTTAAAATACATTAAACGAAAGATCAAACATAAGAAACCATTTCCTTGTTTATATTATTGTCTTTGTAAAACTATAGAGTACTAAACTAATTTAAGAAAATTATTTCGAATTATTTATTTTAGTTATTAAATAGTACGCAATATATAAATTCATAATATAACACTCTTCATATATATACATATATATATGTGTGTATATATATATATATATATATAATATATAATATACATTTCTAAGATGCTGTACAATAGATGCTGTACTGTATTTCCATGTTATTTAAAAAGAAATTAAAGATTATTATGTTTTTTTTATCTCCTTACAATGTTGGGCAAAATATGTTACTGTTCAACAATGCACAAAGCATTTACAAAGTGCTCAAAGTTTGTTTGATAAAAGTTTCATAGACAAATTTTAGGACTTGTATTTTAGAATAGACATAAATGTACTTTTTCACACGTTGCATTTCACATTTCCAAGATTTTTCACCTTCATGAAATGACTGCACTTAGATGATACGTAAATTATAAATAAAAGCATTTTCCACTTGTCGAAGGAGATTTTGTTAACGTACAGGATAGATACTGCACTTGAAATTAATTGCAATGTGAAATAGCGTAATGGTTATTGCGATTTTAAATATACAATACAACATGTATACTCTTATTATTATGTATGTACATCTATGCGTGTATAGTTATTATGTAAATTTATTCAAATAATGTTTCTAATGACAAAACAATAATGAGCAATGTCTTTCTACACACATGTGAATTTTTATTTTTTTGTGTTCCCGCTCATCCATCCTGTTTTATAAATTCTCTGTTGTAAGAAAAACGACTCACATAGCGAATTCGGTCACTTGAAATTAGCAAAATTAAATGTAAAAATATATAAATATTTTAAACGATTAACTATCTACTAATGATATTGTCACATTATTTAACAAAATGTATGTGTATCATTTCATTGTCAAAGTTGATTATATTGTATCACCGCATTGAGATAGTTTATATAAAGCAGCTTTTAATATGCACTGATCTAGTGTAGTGCAAGTGATTCATCATAATATACAATATGTTAAAATATAAATTATAATTTTGGCTCAAATTTTATTGTGTGTTAATGTAATTTTATTATCTTTATGATACAGAACGTAAGAGTGCAAGAAATTTGTGATTAATATCCGATGCACTAGGTCAAGCTTGTACAATGACGGAACATACGAAATTCCTGAGAAACGATGAATTCTTCGAGTGCATTAGGGCTACTGATACGGTAGCTATTCGCGTGACATTTCATGAATGGAATGTGAGGTATAACAGAACCGCCAATAGCTGTCATACCAAAGACACACTAGCAAATTCCAGCTTTTTCGAAAATAAACGTTTTGAATTTTGTATAAAATTTTTTATTAAATTTTTTGGATAACAGTTATATTCGTCCATTAATGAAGAGAGATCGGTTATCTGTGCCATGTTAAATAATTTCTTCTTAAATGAAAATTTTGAATGATTATTAATTATTCCACTTAGGAAAATTAATTAATCGTATATAATTAATGATTTGAAAATAACACTTTTTTGTTAGTAATAAACTATTGTTGCTCGATGCGCGGTAACAAAAAATGCAAATTAAATCTAATGTTTAATTTCTAAAATGTCAAAATGAAGTTTACCTTCGTTTCATATATTTTTTCCAAATTTTTATTATATGTACATTTTATAATATCGAGAATAATAAAATTGTGAAATATAGGTGAATAAAATGAAAGAGAAAATAAAGAAAATTATATTTTTGCATAATGTTTTTAATATTTCATTCTCCTAATTTATTAAAAGAAACATAAATTAAAAGAAAATTTTTCAATTTATTAAAATTAAAACCCAATCCGGCACGTAAGAATTTGATAAGAAATAAAAAGAATCAATAAAAAGAATAAAATAAAAAGATCATCTCTCAAATATACAAATACGAGCAATATATTGATACACGATTCATCAATACATATATTTAATTAAAATGCAAGGAGTAAATTACGTTCGACATAATTCGCACTATGAGACGTTAAATAGTTCCTAAATTCGTGTTGAGAGCATTTCGTGGCGGTAAACTGGATGTTACGCGATGTGCTACAATACACAAAGGCAAGTGCTCAGTCGACCGTTTTGTTTTGGTAGCAGTGACGGGCGCGGTTACGCGGTCTAGTGTGCCATTGTGTATACAAAGCCCCGCCGGCGTGACGCTATCATTCATGGTGAGAGTGAGCGAGACTCGATCTGGTAGGTGATGTGGCGTGAATGTTGTCCCATTAGCTTTAAGGACGTGATCACGATGAGTACGAAAACGCAATCTCTCTCGATTATTTAACGATTGATAAATAGTCGTCACTCACCCCATAGTTGCTCCATTGTTGCCTGACGCTTCCTCCTCTTCCTCTTACTCACAAGTTCTGTTGTTGCTCTTTCGCAGCGAACCCACTTTCGTTTGCGAAAATATTGTTATTTACGATCATGCTACACTCTCGTTAAATCTCGCGACGCGACGCGCATTTTCTTGTCACGTTGTTGCGGAAGAATTACGCGGGACTTATAGGTAGAAAAATTATAATTAAAGTTACAAAATTATAAAAAATGGCTTCTACAATGAGATTTTAAGACGTAAAACTTAATTAAGCTTTAATTTTTAGCCGTAAGAAATTGATCAATCATAATCAAATATAAGGAGAATATTCGACTTGATTATAATTAATTTTTTACGGCTTAAGACATAAAGCTTAAAGCCGACAGTACACGATGCTTGTTTTATTGTTGGATGCTAGCTGGATTAGAAGTCAGTACCACAGTCAGCAATGCGGTGGCAAAAATCTAATGAAAGCTAGCAATCCAGCAAGAAAATAAGCATCGTGTGTCGCCAATTTAAGTCTTAAAATCTTGCTTTAAAATTTCGTTATAGATATCATTTTAAAATCGTAGACGTCGTTTTAAAATCTCATCGTAAACGCTGTTTTAATAAGATCAAGGTAATATCAAGTTAAAGTCAATTCAGGAAAAATTATAATAATGTTTTAAAACACTTTTAACGGTCATTTTGTGATGAATTCTTGACACAATGAATTCTTGTTTTTTAAGTGATGTTTTCAATTAAAAAATCATATCACAAAGTGTTATTGTCAAAAATATTGAATGACATGGCCATTATGATTTTTCTTAAATTGACTTTTACTTGATATCATCTTGATCTTATAATTGTTAGTGAATTTAATTGAACGCATTAATGTATATTAAAGTTATACATTGATATAATCTGACAATGAATGTATAATATTCTACAATAAGTCATAAATCTACAATTAGTAATAAATCAGAAATCAGAAGCTAGAAATTGGCCAATCATAGTCAAATATTTTTTTCTTAGAAATGCTCATTTTTCAAGATATTTAAGGAGTCCAGAACTTTTCGAATATCCTGTATAATAAATTTATATATTATTATATAAGCACACATTTTTACATTAATCCATGTTTTAATATTCGTATTTTGTCGTTCCAATTTTCGTCGCCTAGAAGTTTCGTTTACGCTTATGTTACTATCTCCTTATATTCGATTTATGCTCCGATTTTTATTTTCGCCAGAGATTCGCTGTATGATTTTGTATTCTACCTGAGACGAGCGCGCACAGCTCAGTGATCCACTCGACGCTTGTGACATTGCGAAATCAGAGATCGAATTTGAAATGGCGTGATGGCGTGACGGAGGATTTGGCAGAATTGCGCAGCTAACCGTCTTCAGGAGCAACCGTCGCGATCCGTCATACGTCGCTTTCATACGATTGTTAATCCTGTGTAGTGCGTGAATAAGTATACGAAATTGTTAAAATTTAAGACGAACATTCGCATAATGGTTGTTAGATTCTTTAATGTGATTGATTTAGACATTTAGATCCAGTGAGGAACTAAGAGCAAGATCAATCATGTTAAAGAATTTTACAACAGTTGCAAAGCTGCTTTTGCTGCGGAACGTAGTCAATGCTCGTGCGGTTAATCTCATTTAAATTCAATGTACGAACGCGAAATTTCCGCTTTGCTATTATACAATACTTAATGTCGAGATGTGAAATACAGTATCGACCGCGAATAATTTACCAATCAAATACTTGCTTCTTGATTTAGTGCTGCGATATTCTATTAACGACGATACACGTTTGGAAGTAATACCGGAAACTTAATCCTCGTCGCGTGATACTCATGACGCAAGTCAAGTTTAGAGATAAGCGGTGCAAGAGACAACAAATGCCATTGATCATTCGCGAACGTTGTATGTGAGTGTAAATGCATGAAGAAGAAGTGCAATGAGATGGAAGACATGGAAGATGAAGGAAGGAGGAGATCTGAGAGGCATCGGGTGTCGGTGGAGCTACGATGAAATGAGTAATGACTACTTATTTATTATCTACTTATAGTGGATTTTGCTACATTAAGATTTCTCCGCTACTCGATTTGTCTCCGCAATATCTTAAATTGAAATCCGTTATTATAGATTTGCGGCATATCGCGTTGATGAAAAAAAAATTGCGAACGTTCTGAAATGAATTTCGTGATCGTAATAACGATTCATTTGTACGATGAATTTTCCATAAATTGATTGCGTGGGTGAGTTAATGGAAATAACGATAGCAGTGGAATAACAATAATTAGTAGTCATCACGATTACTTTCTGCATCAGCGATTTTTTTATTAAATATCTATTTACATAAATAAAAGACTCAATGTGTGCAATCGTCTTTATTTTATAAAAATATTAATTGGTTTTATTACTGTATTAATTTCGATACGTTTTTGTGTGTTACAAGTGAACGTGTTGCTCCGCTGCTGTACATCGACCAATGAGTGTTATTCATGTAACTTATTTTTTCTTATAATTTTTAGCTCATGA